GCAAGCAACACGTCTACAGACACCAACGACCAGCTACCCTCACCAAAGGTACGCCCACATGACCCAACCTACATCAAACGCACAGCACAACCAGGTAGAGACACCACCGCACACCCACCACCGACAAGCCGACCCAACCCCAACACCACCAACCCCAACAAACCAGCACCTCATCTCTCAGTCTGCATCCATCGACGCCACTACCTGTAACACCCTACCCTCCACACCATCTTCTGCTTTGGTAGCGAATAACACCTACCGGCAGGTGAGTAAGACCAGTCAATACAAACGACCTCGCTCGAGGCCTAGACGCAAGCACACCTCGACCCTGCTGACCCCAACCCAAAAACGCCTACTTCGAACACCGCAGATTATCCTACAGGACGAACTAAACTCGAAATTCATTCACAACAGATCCGCACTCACCCTCTCGCGCATAGAGCTCGAGGGGCTAAGCCTAGGACTCTCTTTCATCCCAACCCCATCACCCCCCACAGAACAAACAGTTATGAGCGCCCTCTCAAGATTCACGAGAGCAGTGAGACTTACCGCACAGTTCTCGTCTGACAGGCCAGCCCCACGCTTTCGTATTGCCAACCCATCCTGGATGCCCAACCCTGCTCCCCCCCCTGTAGAGCGATACATCGCGGAGGTGGGAAGGAACGTTACCAAACGCCTCCCACTGATGACGCGTAGCGCACGCAGGAACATGAGTGAGCAAGCGTTACGGTGCCTACAAAAGTTGGGTAAGAATAAAGAGGTGGTGGTAAAGCCAGCAGATAAGAATCTAGGACTCGCACTCCTAGATACTTCGTGGTATCGAGCAGAGGCACTTAGGCAGTTATCCGACACCAAAACCTACAAAGAGGTCGCAGCGGTACCCATGGACGACCTGTGCAGGGACCTCAACACTTGGTGCTCGAGGTACAAGGATAGGTTTCCGAAGGAAACCATCGAGTACATCCTGCAACCAAGAGTTGAGCGACGCACAGAAGCAGAATGTGAGGATCACACGGACATACACCCTGGGCAGTTCCGGGTGTGCAGATTCTATCTGCTACCTAAACTGCATAAAGACCCTGTCAAGGGGAGACCGATTTGCTCATCTACTCTCTGGATCTTTGAACACGCCAGCCAGGTGCTCGATCACTACCTACGCCCTTTGTTGGCCCTGGCACCAACCCATCTACCAGACTCAATCACCCTACTCCACACACTTCGTGCCCTCCCCATACCTGAACATGCCATCTTCCTCACGTACGATGTAGAGAGCCTCTACCCGTCGATCCCGCTCCAGCAGGGCTTGGACGCCATCCGAGAAACAAAGGACAGATTCGTGCACATCCACAGCCACCCAGTTTGGCCGGAGATGGGTACCGCCAAACAGCTCAGTGCGTGCTGTGCGCTCCTGGAGCTAGTCATGACACAAAATCACCTACAATTCGATGGGAAGTTCTACCGACAGATTCGAGGTACAGCCATGGGTACTCCGGTTGCAGTGATCTACGCAGTTCTCTTTATGAGCTGGCTAGACACTCGCATGGAGGAACTACACCCATCCCTGTCAAGGCATGTGCTACTGCATAGACGCTACATCGACGACGGATTGGTAGTCTGGACCGGATCGCTAGCAGAACTACACCAATGGATAGAGGGTTACAACAGCCTCATGGACGGCATTCACATCACCACCGAGGTCAGCGCCACATCGTTTACGCTGCTCGACATCACCTTCAGCAAAGGTAATCTGTGGGAGGCAACGAGAAAGGAAGATGTGAGAGGCGGTTTTCTGGACACCTCAGTGTACCAGAAACCGCTGAACGTCTATCAGTATTTCCCTTTCCGATCGGCACACCCGCGACACTGCAAACGAGGATTCATAATTGGTGAGCTGTACCGCTACCTCCTGCGGGAGTCATCAGAGGAGGGCTTCCAACAGATGAAATCCTCTTTCGCAGTGCGTCTACGAGCACGCGGCTACCACTCGAACTTCATCCGGCAGATCTTTGACGAGGTACAGTACAGCGACAGGGAAACACTCCTGCAACGATCAGTGAAAGGTAAGCACCGTGACGGCAGAGTACTGCCTTTTGTGCTCGAGTACCACCCTAGTCTCGAGCACCCACAGATAAGGTCCCTGCTCCGGTCCGAGACGAGTAGGACAACCCTAGAGACGCTCTGCCCGAGACAGCCTTTCCTCAGCTTCCGTGCAGCACCTAAGCTGAGGAATATGCTCGTCCGAGCTGCTTTCACGAGTGCCGACGCTCGAGCTACTTCCGAGTGCAGTGCCGCATGAACGACACCACTGGACTCTATCGTATATCGTTGCTGGGCTCGCCCCTGTTTGTGGCTTTCCATGCTGTTGTCCTCTCACACTGCATTTCAAACAATCGGGGGGGGCTGCGCCCCCCCGAAACCCCCCCCCCCCCCCCCCCCCCCCCCCCCCCCCCGCTCCTCTCTCTCCCCCCCACGCTATGCGCTCCCCAGTTCTCTCAAAAAA